GAACGTGTGAGTTCTCAAACAAGGTTGTAATTATTTGTGGTGCAAAGAAGGCACCGCTGCTTGTGAATCGTGGATAGGGGTTGTGGGTAGGCTTAGGGGCGAACAAGTGATTACTTAGGGTCAGGGGAGGGGTTTGGGTTGAAGGGAATCAGAGCTGAGAATTAGGGTTGTACATAGGGCTAGGTGCTCTAAAAAACTGCCTATGTACTACGCAGATATTACTGTCTATGCATAGAGATATCAGACTTGATGTAGGTACAGGTGGCACAGTAACCACCTTTACTGTGGCGATATAAACCGACATGATAACCCCGTTTTTATATCAATAGATTGTACAACACGAACGACCAAAGAAGTCAGTGAGTATGTTGCTACAGCAACTTTTCATAATGCAGAGATTATTCATGAATACTATTCAAAGGATTGTCATAAGTTAAGAGTTTGGTAGAGGAAGTCTAGGCATATCTTGCACTAGCCACATTTTCTTGCGTCAATCGCAAACGATGTGTTCATTATCTCAATTTAAGTGACGCAAGTCAAGACATCAGCGTTTGGGTACGCTCTACTTGAAGAACACCAGTCAGTGTGATATCTAGAGTCATAAGACAAATCATCAATCAAGAGATGGGGCATAATGTCTCGCTCTTCTTGATATTACAGAATAAAATAGGATTTGGACGACCGTGGTATACGACTTACGAGCTCATCTAAATGTGCTCATCAACTTTGAAATTGCTTGGCATCTTCAGCGTAAGTAGCAGCTGATGAATGCCCAAACACATGCTAAGAGAGAGCGAACTCAACAAAGTTTTACATGCCTGCTCTGCAAATTGTTGACTCAATGAACCTGTGATAGATAGGCATGTTTAGTTTGAGCAATGTTTGGTTTATGCAATTATGGCATTTGTTATTTCTTTGTAAATATATGCTTAAAGATGGTGAAGCAATATATTCTTGCTTGTGTACTATTTTTCATTTCTGCGTACTATTTTTAAGATCATAAAGATCTCGCTGTATTTCCTAGAGTATACGACTTCAAAGTATGTACTGACTTGTGCCAACGAGTAGTTATGAGAAGCAGAATATGCTTAATCCGTCGACACTAGCGGGCTTAATGAAGTAATGAGTTTGCTTTATGGCATTATAACTTGTCAAATAAGGAATTTAGTATTTATAGCAAGATTAGTTTGTTCTTAAGTTTTGTATCAGTTTCAATGTGTGGCTTACAAAAGTTAATCTACTATTCATTAAGCAAAATTTGTGAATAAAGCGTTGGAAATAATCAACTGTTACGTTACAATCACCCCTTCCAATCATATATGATATCTTGGTATACTGATAAATGCCATCCGCTCAAGCTGTTCAGCCGCCCAGCCAGTCGCTTTCCACCGCACAGTCCAAGACCTCTTTTTAATCCGATCTAATGGTGTTCCTCCGTAAACTCCTGGCTACATCGGCCAAGGTGTCACGTTCAGCCACGCGGTCTATGGCTACATTTGACCGTACCAAACCTCACGTAAATGTGGGAACAATTGGCCACGTTGATCATGGTAAAACAACGCTCACAGCTGCTATCACCAAGGTATTATCCGAAACGGGCGGAGCTGAATTCACGAGCTATGCTGACATTGATAAGGCTCCTGAGGAACGTGCTCGTGGTATTACAATCTCCACTGCTCATGTCGAGTATCAAACAGAGAAACGTCACTATGCTCATGTAGACTGCCCAGGTCATGCAGACTATGTAAAGAATATGATTACGGGTGCAGCTCAGATGGATGGTGGAATCTTAGTCGTTTCAGCTGGTGATGGTCCAATGCCTCAGACACGTGAGCACATTTTATTAGCTCGTCAAGTTGGTGTACCCGCTCTTGTGGTTTTTATGAATAAAGTAGACCAAGTCGAAGATGAAGAACTTTTGGAACTTGTTGAGATGGAAATTCGAGAGCTTTTGGAAGCATATGATTTTCCCGCTGATGATATCCCAGTCGTACAAGGATCAGCTTTAGCAGCTGTCGAAGGACGTGATCATACAATTGGACGCGATGCTGTACGTAAATTAATGGACGAAGTTGATGCGTACATTCCAGACCCCGTTCGTGATTTTGAAAAACCATTTTTAATGCCTGTTGAAGATGTTTTCTCGATCTCAGGACGTGGAACAGTTGTATCTGGACGAGTAGAACAGGGTGTTATTAATACGGGGGATGAAGTGGAACTTGTGGGTATCAAACCTAGCTCTAAAACGACGTGCACGGGTGTCGAAATGTTTAAAAAGTCGCTAGATCGTGGTCAAGCTGGTGATAACGTTGGTTTACTTTTACGTGGTCTTAAGCGTGATGAAGTGCTTCGTGGTCAAGTATTGTGCAAACCAGGTACCATAAATCCTCACACGAAGTTTGAAGCGGAAGTTTACGTTCTTAAGAAAGAAGAAGGTGGACGCCACACCCCGTTTTTCAGTAATTATCGACCACAATTTTTCTTCCGTACTGCTGATGTTACGGGTAACATTTTGCTTAAAGAGGGCACGGAGATGGTTATGCCTGGTGACAACACGGCTGTTAACATTGAACTTATTCATCCTATTGCTTTGGATTTGGGGATGAAATTTAGCATTCGTGAAGGTGGACGAACCATTGGCGCTGGTGTAGTGTCCAAGGTCGATGTTTAACTGCGGCAAGTATATTTGTCAGTAGATTAGGCCAAGTGTGTCATCTACAATAACATACTAATACCTACACTTTTGACAAACACTTTTTTGTAGACACCCAATTGATTAAATCTCACATGTATCGTCAATTCTTGTCTACTTTTTTCTGTTACTAGCGAGATCCAAGCTCTTTTACTTGAGACTACCGTCGATTTTATGACGCAGCTACAGATGCAGCCATTGCAGCCTTCGCAGACGCTGCCGCGCTGCTCGTTGCTCGCGACTCTGAGATTGAACTTTGATACGTACGAAACGCATTGACAATATGCGGAAATGTTGGACGCAACTCCGGCTGACGATTCCAACATGCTTTCATTAGTCGCGAAAAGAATGGCGGGCAGTCGCGTGGGATATTTGGACGCAAATTGCGATTGAGTACACCCAATGCAGCCTGAATTTGACTCATTCCGTCATATGGGCACTCTCCTGTCACAATTTCCCAAATGACAATCCCAAATGAAAAGACATCTGCTTTTTCTGTATACTTTTGATTCCCTAAAACTTCTGGTGCCATCCACTGAACAGTACCACAGTTGCCAGTCATCGTTTGTACATGGGCCTTGACACGCGCAAGTCCAAAATCGGATAATTTGATATTAAAGTTTTTATCCACCAATAAATTAGGACTTTTTAAATCCCGGTGCAAAATGGGTCGTTCGAAATGGTGCAGATACGACATGCCCTTGGCCGTGTCGTAGATAAAACGTGAGCGCATTTCCTGGTTAATCGACTTGCGATTCATACGTAACACACCCCATAGTGATCCACGTTGTAATAGCTCCACTACTAGTGCACGATGAGGTGGTTCCATGCATGCACCCAAAAGTCGGCAAATATTTGGGTGTCGCAACACACTCATAATTTCCACTTCTGACTGAAACTCATTCAAAATGTCACTACGCAAATCTTGGCAAATTAGCAATTTGACTGCCACACTTTTACCACGCCACTTTCCCTCGTGCACTTTACCAAATGCCCCTTCGCCTATCATACGACCCAATGTTATTTCGTGAAAATTAATACTTTGACTGTAATTTGTGGCACGGTGTTTCAATGTCTTGTCTTTTGTTGCATCCACTGGCGCAGGTGGAGGTTTGGCAACTGGCACTGTATCTTGTGCAATTGGTTCTGCCTTGACAACTCCATCACCGACACTTATAATGGTCAAATTTGTCCTAGTTGACTCGGTGTCACTATTGTCCGTGTCAGTAGTTGCCTTCGTGTCGTGACCAGCATTGAACCATGCCGACAGAAAATGAGGAATTTTGGCCTTCTTCGCTCCATCTAGCTTCAGTTGTTGAACTGGCTCCATGTGTTCACCCAAGAACTCGGTCGAATCGCGACGATCACGTTGTTCACGAACATTGTTATTACGTATAGTCGCCACGGCATCTTCTTCTGGCTGAATCTCTTTTTCTTTCGCTCTTTCAACACGTTGCTTTGCCTTTTGTTGTCGCCGCAACTCTTCACGAAACGCAACTTTTTGGGTAAGATCTAAAGTTGCAGCCTCTGAATCAACAGGTTCTGGTTGTGGTGACAGTTTGGGTGCACGTCGTCCTACCCCAGGTGTTGGACCCATTTTAATAGGTGACCCCACTGTACCAAAGAATGTGCTTGTTCGCGATGCAGGCGCATTTGGGTCGATCCGCAATGGATTAATGGGCTTTTTGCGGCGCTGGAACGTCAATTTCCGTTGATTCCCCCTCAATTTGGCATTCTCCTTGTTCATAGTCAAAGATTGCCGAGACCCTTTGGTTTGAAGTAGTAAATGGAATGTGGCTGCCACCCTCTCGACGGCTTTTCACTCTCTTCCACACTGCGAGTCGGTTGCACTCATTCTCTCCCGCACGTTCAAAACGGATCTTGCCAGCTGAAAAGAGTTAAAATTTAAAAAGGGCCCTTTTTTTCTCTTCCAAGTGGTATTACTAAGATAATGAACAAATTATGAACTAGATGGAAACGCAATGCCGAAGGTGAAAGACGTCGACTTGAGACGAATGTCTTCCTCTCTTGAGCTTGCAGAGCATTGATTGATGAGTATTGAAGACTACTATACTTATGATTATTATTTCTTTAGCTTGCAGAGCATTGATTAATATGTGTAGAATTAAAATGTGTCATACTTATGGATATTAATTTCACGAAATTCAGCAACATATTGCTTGAAAATGACAAATGCTGTAGAGTTTTAAATACTGGATGTTGTACTGGCTCAATTTCTCTGTAAGAACACTAAAAGCAAGAATACTGTACGTTCGGGTCAGTGTACATAGTTTTCGGTTCCAGTTAAAAGTTATTTTGCTTAATTTACACCTAGATTACTTTAAAGAGTCAGAGTAGTATAATGAAAAATTTCAACCTAGGAAAGATTGTGTAAATAAAGTCTGAAATCTAACATGAAGTAGTCATTTTCATAACCAAGAACATCAGAAATGGCTCTAGTTCATCAGCTTTCTTCGAATAGAGTTTTTAATGTCTCAATTGCATCGTAGAGACGTTCGATGATGTTCTTGATCTCAGTATTGCCAGGATAAGAGTAGACAACATTGATCAGATTCGGTATTTGATTATTAAACATTCTCGTTGTACTGCAATGCTTATCACTTTGATTGCCCTTCGCATCAAGTTACCTCATCTAGTTCAGCGTTAGTCGAAGATATACATCATTAGTTTCAAATTAATGTATTTGAACTTCATAGTCCTCATCTCTATATAATCGTATCCTTACACGCACCTAGCTTTGCATTAAACATACGTTTCTTCACAGTATTTTCTTCTAGTTCTACCTCACTTGATACTGAGCCATCATTCTTTAAAGTCGTATTTAATTCAGTTCAACTATCCGGTAGATGCATCACTTCTGAATTGTCAACTATATCATTGATTTGGATTTTATTAAGATTTGTGGCTCTTATCCACTGGCATCTTCTGTCCACATTGTTGAAGCAATTCTACAAAACTTATCTAGTCTCAGTACCATCTTCATATCAACTACGGCAATTCTCAATCATCGATTACAAGCTCACATGTCAAATCTCGTCGCAATTGATGCTTATAGTGCGAGTTTCTATTTCAGGTTTATCGTATTTTACTTACTTACAGCTCGACTCCTTAATCTCTTGTCGTGCTAGCTCTGTGCTTATTCCTTCTTATGCCGATATGCTTCTGATTTCTTCACAGCATGAAATTTGTATACATCGATGCATGGTTTTAGAAGTTACGTCGTGATTTGCTGCTGGTTGAGTCTGAGCGCATACAAAGTTGGCGCATGATGGAAAGATGTTGTTGAGTAGATGTAAGAATTTATAGTTGTATGCTATGATGTCAGAGAACTTTGTGCCCGTGCAAAGGCATAAATGTAACTTTCTTACATCCAACATTACGAGAAAAATTAAAAATTGTATTGACTTACGCTCACATCGTCAAGAAACGAACGCGAGTTTGTAGCTCCGATATTAATATTACTCACAATTACTAATCAAATCTCGGTAAATTAAAGGCGAATGTTGCTGTAAATGTCGATGCGAACAAATTACTATGATATTAAGTATATTAGAATGAAGTTGAAAACATATATTACGCTTTTTTTCTTTGACTACTAATTGATTTTCTCGAACCGACGATAATTTCTTGTGGCAGTTTTAAAAGTCCAGTGACTTGTCACTTCACGTCATCATTTACAATTTCCCGAAAACAATCGCTAACGTTGAAACTCACGTTATCCAGGGTTGACAATATTATAGTTCATAAAGTAATAATTAATATTCAAAAGACTTGATTGTCGTGTTTTTTTCAACATTTCTATTCATCTCGGCTTTCTTAAAATTTCCAGTGGCGATCACAATTGTACAATTCACTCCCCAATAGTAATATCACTCACTAGCCATTATAAACTCTCAAAAGATCAGCTCCCACATGTACGTTCACTCGATCTGTCCATTCCATGTCGCTTTTCGTCGCTTCTCGTGTGTGTTTGAGCTAATTCTTGGCTTTTAAACTTGTTTGCTTTGCTTTAAAGTGTTCATTCTCGTCATCTCGTTTGAAATATAGACAGGGACAAACGTGTTAGAGTGTGTGGAAGAGATTGAAAGAAAAGGAGAGACGAACGAACGGAGTGGTTTTTAAAAAAAGTTTTCATTTCGTCTTGTACCACCGAAAATGACCGACTTTCTTCATTCATTACGAGGTTTACCATGTTTGAACTTTAGTAAAGAACGAAAACAAGAGTTGGAATTATCAAGTGATGATCTGATTGAGAATGCATTAAAAGTATATGATCAATTTCATGCTCATAAACTACATGATCAAATTACACAAGAATGGCGACTTGTTAAACGAAAGAAATCATTACATGTGTATCGAGAACGTGGGAAATCCAAGTGTCCAATATCTCGAAAGTATCTTTGCAGTGGTGTGATGCCTGGTACGGTTGAAGATATGGTCAATGGTACATATTCCGATGATACGGAAAATATGCGCATACGTCTTGGAATTCTTATGGAAAAATATCTCGATGCACGTGTACTACATGTCTTTGAAAGAAATGATCGAAGTGATAGTGTAATTTTCTCGGGAATTAAATGGTTAGCAATCAAGACTCCAACATCTGCTTCATTAATATATGATCGTGATATGCTCTTTTACAGTCGAATTGGACGTATTGTCGATAGTCGAGGACGTTATTTTGTTTATTATGTTGTCAATTCAATTGAATTAGATGAATTTCCAGTCCAACGACATCAGAATTTAGAACGAAGTTATATTTCATTCTGTTATCTCTTTCGACAAGTACAAGATGAATGGATTGGTTGTTTTATTATTGGAACATGTTCATTAGAAGGAACACTTCCACGAAGTTTAAGTGAACATATTACTACTGAACGAATGCTTTCAGTTGGAAAATTTCTTAATGTTGCTCGAGCAAAAGCATTTTCAGCACGTATTATTACAAATGCTGATCGTTTACCATCAACAAGTTCATCATGTGATGTTTGTATGAAGAAAAGCACAATCTTAAGTGGAAAATTCAAACTTTGTATGGGATGTCGTCGAAATACATGTCGAAAATGTCGTGAATGGTGTACTGTCTTTCGTCTTGATTTACGAAGTCAAAAGCCTGGAAAAGAACGATTTTGTTTACAATGTATTGCAGATATTACACGTCCAACAATCTCATCGTTTTATCTTAATAGTCTTCAGGAATCAACAAGTAGTTCAATGGAATTTCAAAGTACAAAATTGGCTTCGACATCGACTTCAGGTATTAATAAACACAGTGACAATTCACTCTCAGATCGTTCACAAGATAATGAATTGGAGGTTGGAGAAATACCAACGATGGAAGGACCTTTGAATTTAGATGGACTTGCCACTTTTATTGAACGTGCAAGTTTAGCAAGTACAAGAGAAATGCAATGGAATCAAGATGAACTGGAGTATTATGTTGAGATTTTGCGTGAATCAGGACACTTTAATCGGACAACTACGACGCAACATTTGTTATCTTTAGATAAAATGGACCAGAATGATGAGACAGATATAATCTTAGATGACACGGAGACTTTTTTTAGTGTCGATGAATTAGATTGATTTAAAAGATATTGACAATAAAAACAATAGACGCAACAATAACTTTTATACACTCTTTTTGGGTTCTATAGACTACTAGTAATCACATCTGCTACAGCAATAATGATGTTAAACATCTGCGAGTACATTCCAAGTCTTGAAGCATAAGCCATTTGTGCCGATGTATTAATAAGTGGAATCATTGGTTCTGCTGTCAATGTCTTGTCAAAACTTTTACTTCCTTTAGAACGTACATCTTGCAACTTTTTGCGAAAACGTTCTTTCACCCAACTTTGGATACGTAAAACAACCCCAAACCACTCGTCAAATTCCAATGTACGAATTGATTTGAGAACGAAAAATGTACGACGAAGACTTTCTTCTTCATATGAGATCATCATCCCCATTAAAAAAATTACCGACATATAGCCAGCATATTGTTGATAATAAGCTGGTGAGAGGTTACTTGCAGCAATAATAATGCCTAATGCAACAATAAAAGTTGTTGATGTTGCGTAGATGAAACGTACACGAAAACCTGAGCGATGGGCGAATAAAACTGCGTTTAAAAAACCCATATAATACACAGGTTTTGGTTGTCCAGGCGACTTTAGATTCGCTTTTTCGTATGCATCAACTTTTGGACCCGTGGATACAGCAAGTAGTAAAATTCCCATACAACACACATGACACGCAATGACAATAGATGAAAAAATTTGAGTTGAACGCACGTAACCTCCTTTGTTGATAAGAATATCCAGCACTCGATCTCGAGTTGCATATTGAACTTGAGCTGCTTCAACCACTCCTTTCATTCGTACTGTAGCTTGAGTTGATTGATCTGCTTCAATTGATACTTGACTCTTGTGATTTAGACTAATAATAACCATTGAATCTCTCGTTAATGCAGCATTTTTTGCTTCTTCAGCTTCTTTTACCCAACGTGCATAAAATGCTTTTCCTAAGAAATACATGAATAAAGCAGCGGAAAAATATAATGGAACAGTGACACCAAATCGAAGCACAAGTGCATACGTTAAATCACCATCATCCACAAGTTCATCTTTGTTGACTTTTAGAAATTTAATGTCTTGAAGTAATAAAACCAATTGATTGAGCAATAAGGTCCAAATTGCAAAACGAATTGTACGAAAAACTCCTTGATGTAATGAACCTGAATTTGGGTTTTCATACGGAAATGGATCAATGAGATACCAGTACCGATAAAAACATTCTTCAACTTCAGGATGACGAAATTTTAACGACAAACGATGCATTAACGTTTCTTTACTGAATTTGTCAGTTTTAATCTCTTCCACAGCATCAGCATCCATAGTACCTGAAAATGGCAATTGCAAACAAAAATTGCGTCGACGCAATAATTCTTGCCGATATTGTGAAACCATACCTCCAATTGCTGTGATACCATAATTAATTGCTTGATACGAAATGTCAGTAAATGAGTCAAAAAGTGAAGGTTGAGGCAAAGTATTGCGAACACTCATCATCACAACGAGATAGCTAAAGAAAATGGACCATCCAATACAGCACGATTTCACGTAACGCATTCGAGTGATACCAAAGATCGGAATGAGAAGAATAAGCAGCGGAATGATAGGTCCACGAATCTTTTCCACGGGTTTCTTAGCTATCATCATGGCCGCAACAACCACAAATACACAGGCCGTGACATTTTCCAGATATTTTCGACCAAGGGTTGTAAACGTGGCAAGAAATCCGAGTAAGAAACTGGGCAACATCACCCCAAATGTAAGAGTCATGATAGTTGTCTCATCTTGTTTCGAGCGCCCATTTACGTCCGATGGTGCCCATTTATTTGATTGCCACTCATTCACATAGAGCGTTGTAAGACCAACAAAACCAATAAAAAAACATGCACGCACTCGTGATACCGACGTCTCCTGTGTAATCGCAAGATAATTCTCTTCGTAGAACGTTGGAGCAACATTCGAAAAATAAAGAGAACGTCCCATATTCGTCTGTTGTTGGATCCGCTGAAATTGTTGCGTATAATAATTTCGTGCTTTAATTTGCTTCATGATGTCTGCAAATAATTATTCAAAAGGTTAGGTCATGATGGCTATGATGACATAGTGGCACGTGTAACTGTACCATTAAAGCCACCAGTGTAATTTGGTGGCGCATTTGCACGCAAAATTGTTTCATTTGCATCGTCATCAGTATACGGTTTCAAACTATGTGAAAGCACACGATAACGAGCGTGACTTTGGCTCTGACTCATGCTAATGCTCTGTCTACTACGAGAGACATTACTATAAGATGGACGAAAGCTTCCTCGACTTTTGGGTGTATCACTCTTGAGCTCAACAAAAGAACTGGTGCGCTCTTCCATTGTATTTCTTTGTACTTGACATACACAGCGTAATAAAAACTGCGGAAGAGAATTACAATTGACGTAAATGTATGAAATACAATGCAACTGGCAGCTTTGTTCAAACCTTATCTGGTCTGTTGCTTCGAGCAGCAGATTGAAAAGTGAACTGAACTACAGTAATGACAAAGTCGAGTGGGTAGAGAGAGCAATTCCCCGATCCCTACAATAAAAGACTGTAAAACGGTCGCACGCTGTGACCGACTGGAAGATCGTCTGGGGCTACGACACTAAACCCTTCGCCCGCACTTTCGGTGGTTAAACTAGAAATGATGCGGCAGGAAAATCTCGTGAGCGGCTGAGTTGCTGGATCATTTCTCAGCGGAAAGTCGTGGAGCGCAAATCGCTGACAGAATGCGTGACACCCCTTCCTGATGATGTCGTGTCAATAACAGATTAAAAAGGTCAGATACATCAGAGGTTTCTATATAAGCGACTGGCTATCAACGAAAGTGTTACATGTAGATGTTTTTGATTCGATAAATTGTTGGCGTGAATATCTTTCAGTCTGGGTAATTCATTTTTATCTGTCGTACGGATGACATCCGTTATTCCTACTAGACAGAACGCTGAGCTTATTACTGATAGGTGAATCGTTTGGACGACTGGAAAAAATGGGAGAGGCACGCACTCCAGACATAAACTTCAGAACAAATGAAAACGCCGATTTTGTGATTACATAATTTACTTTAGCTCATACTGTAATAATGGATAGTTAAAAAGCACGCAATTCATCAAGTTTGTGTTGGTCCGGATCTACTAATACTGCACATCACCGCCTCATATGGCCGATCACTTCTCCTATCAGCTAACGCTTGACTTCAGAATCTCATTTCTATTAATGTTCGCGAAAAGGCAACCGCCCGCTCACACAACCATGTTAAGTGGGTGTTGAATACTTAAAGCACCCGTGAAACTGTCCCGTTGCTGGTCAATACGTCACCAGCCTATACTAGGTGATAAACACAATCCACCTGTAAATAGTTGTATGACCAATCATTGTGACTTCGTAAGTGTAGTGTATAGCTTGTGGCGTACCAGAATGTCGATTGGGTGTTCGAAATTACATCCTTGCGCAATGCACCGTCGTTTTGACAGCTTCACTTCTTCATATATTAACTGTACATGATACTCGCTTTTACACTACACTTTACTTCTTTAAAGTTATTTTAGAACTTTTTCAATTTCTTACTCAACTCTTAACATCAAGTACTACGAAGTACAAAATTTGCAATTTCCAATGTTGCATTAATCCAGCTCATCAATACGAATGATTTTCGTTTCCCGAATGTCTTCCAATTGAACTTCGGATGATCTGGTTGAATGAGTTATAGGGACAGGAATCTTTACAAATTCTTGTACATCTTCATCATATACAACAGTCCATTTGACACAATGCTTGGGCTCCATCCGTGACCGACATTCGTCTGCGTCATCTTCAAAATATTGATTCTCGCCCGCACTATACATGCTTAACGAAGACGGGCTGTCGAAGTTGTTGTATTGAACGTCGTAATCTGGGGGTGTCTCTTGTTGCGCAGTAGAAATGATCGAGCTGCTCACTATGTTATCGCTCAAAAATCGATAACGTGTACCTTGTCGTAATACTGTATGTAGACTTGATCCTGATTTGCGCCGCTCCCGACGGCGGAATCGATTACTCAAAGTTTCGAGAAATTGTGTAATCTCGAGCAATTCTGCTTCATTCCATGTAATCGTCGCATCGTTGCTTGCCATGCACTTGTAACTCTGACAGATAAATTCTTTCTGTGTGCATAGTCGCATGGACGCATCCGACTTTGAGCGCATCGAGTTATACTCTTCGGTACCCTCATCACTTGATTGAAATGACTTGATACGTGTACCACATAATCTTTCATATACGTCGTCCAGTCCAGCACAAGTTTGAGCATATCCATTTCCAGTGACATAATTCACACAAGAGTGACAAAAGTATTCCGTTGCTGGTTTACCTGATCGCAATTGCATGTGGAAGACCTGACGACGCTCACGACATTTCCAACACACTTGACGACGGCAACCCATACACATTTTATGTGCCAAGCCAAGAATCTTGGCAGGCATAGCTCGACACACAACACATTCAGGTCTCTCTTTATCTACTTCAATTTCCATGCTCTTCACCATGAGTGCCGAAAAGTATTTAGCACGTGCACAACGTAGGAATTTGTTTGCACTTAGTATTTTTTCAGCAGCTATAAATGACGCAAGACTCATGGGCATATTAGTATTTAAGTTGACGTATCCAAAGACGAAAGAGCCGAGCCAATCGGGAGTTAATTGACGATAGAGATAACACAATGAAAGGTCCACACGTTGAACACCTCGCTCTCGATTCGCAGGGTATTCTGGTAAATCAATTGATTGTAGTATATGATATGCATAGCATTGACCACTTTGGTCTCGAAAGTGGCCCATACGCTCATACGTGAGCACATCTCGGTCACTCAATAGTCCGCTGGTTCCCAAAATGCCCCGCATCATAAACCACTTAATACCGGCAAAACTTACTGGAGCTTGAAGGTCATGCGCTTCAAAAACGCGTAATACCGCACCATCCAAGAATTTATCACTCAAAAGAGTTTTGCAAATACGTAAACTTTCCGTTGTGTCACAGTAGACGCCATTTAAAGTGTCGTCAAGGGTTCCAGGCACGATACCACTACCCAAAAGAAAATGCTGATCTTGTAGAGTGATGGCAACTCGTGGACGATAAACGTTCAAAGCATTACGGCGACGAACTAATTGCCAGTCTTGTAAGTCGGACGCAGTGTGGAATTTATCATGCTCTTTCAATGCCGAGATAAGAAGGTCATCACATTGACTATCGAGTTCTGCACGACGTGAGGCGCTAAATTGTATCGAAGGTTGACTTGATGCCATCCGTCGTGGAATATTAGAAGTGACATTTTAATAAAGCAAGTGGATAGATCACGTAAAAGAGGAAAAGCCATGGCACCTCATTTGGTGATCATAAGGTACTAGAGTAATCTAATATGATGCTGAGTCGAGGTTGACTGTACAGTAATTTTATCGATCAATAAATGGACTATCCAACTGCAAAAGGTTGTAATCAAAAAAGCAATCTTAAGACTATCCAAGATCGAGTCTGCGGGATGCGAGGGTTGCTGTTGTCCATATCGGAATAATGGAATTTAGCGGACATATCTTTAAGAGAGAATACCAAATCTCAAATCTTTACCATGAGTCGTCACGGCGATATAGCGAAACTTTTGTCTTATATTGTGGGAAAGACCTTGAATTTCCTCCTGATTAGGCAGCAGGATGTGAAGGAGGACACTTATTGTGGCTGCAACCCAATTTCAAGTAAACATTCGCTACAGATAATGTAGACACTACGAAAGCAAGTAAACACAACTTGTTACATACAGACAAATTTCAGCTTTCTTACCCGACCCTTTACATCATCAACACCTTGCATTTACATGATTTATGACAATAGAAGTATAGTTGACGAAGAGCAGAGTTGGAGAAGATTACGCATATTAGCGCACTTGATTAATGCTGCTGCTTATTCAACATGGATAGTCGGTCCAGAAGCTACAAATTCTCCTTTCGAGAAGAATCAAAGACGTGATTATAAAAATCAAATGAACAACAATTGTGATTATTCAAAACTACAATCTAGATACAGCTGACGAACACCTTCGTGTGAGCACGAAAGTTGTCGACGGCTAACCATCTATCCCACTTTACATCGCCGTTCCCTTGTTTGCACATCCGTCACGAGCGCATATTCAGTGCCATTTTAACCCATTTTCTTCGCTCCACCTTTATCGTCTTAATTCAAATGTCTAGGTGTCCTACAATGTTCGCGTTGTATCGGAACCATAAAAAGCCTCAGACAAATGCGCTTAAGTAGAAAGCGTAAAGGAGTAGATTCAATACGCAGCTAAGGACGTACAAATTAAAGTGCAGAATTGAATCTAGGCAAGTGGGACTCAACGTTTGATGAATTTGTTCAGGTCTGCCGTAGATATGAATAGCAATACACTTTGCACACGCAACAACCTTGCTTTATACAACTTTAAGAGCCCCCAGAGTAGACAAACAACAGGCATCCAGCCAGCATTGAGAAGAGCCAGAATTTAAGCTCTCAGACTTGAAGTAAAATACACAGGTGGGCAAAATTGAAGGGCTACTACGAGCGCTCGATGCATGCATCATTCAGTAAAACAATTGCAGCTGGCGTTGTCCCATATTTACAAGGTAAGCAGGAATAACTTGATATCGTCATTGAAAGAGAACTTTAATAAGGCTGAACTCTAGCTGAAGCTTACCAAGCTCTCGGAATGTGTTGATCCAAAGCTAAACTCTTAATGAAGGCTTAAATCAAAGTACCAAAAATACAAAACACAAATGCTACATCACAACATCCACCGAAACTACGGAAATTGAAGGACCACCAACAACCATACACTATGATGATGCAGAAGCTTTATTGCTGAAGCAAGGTGTTGTCTTACGACCACGCAGATTTGGTACTCAAGATTCTTCTATTCTACACCGAGATAACTGGTTCAGTCATTTTTTTACTGTACTAATCACTAGCATCTTGATAGCTCGTTATCTTGTCCTCAATTGATTTATTCGCAGTTTTTAGATTGAAATACTAAAGTCGAGCCAATGGAAAGGACGACCAAAGGTTCAATATTTTAACTTCTGCGAAACCCTATCAATTAAAAGTACCCATTTTGTTAGTGTCGTGATAAAAAACATTGAATCAATGTTAAAGGCGAGTGAGCTGCTCAATAACTGACAGTCTAAAGCGCCCATTAGGGTCAAATCACGGTCTGTCGGCGAAATCAAACTCTGGCAAAAAAAAGTAGGGACAAAGTTTGGTCTAGATCGAGCTGATGCCTCGCACGCAGCACTAGCTGCGAATAAGAAAATGATGCCCACACAACGACTTTGCTAGGGCAGCGCAGACCAATCTTCCCGAGCGTGAATGGCAAAGGACACTCACATATCGTAGACAAGATCTAAATCGATGTACGATAGCGACCCGCCATTAGTTCTATAATTTATTTAATGATGCTAAGACACCAGTATCGATTCATTATCAAAAGTCGCTTTTTCGTATTCAATATTTTCTAGTCTTCGGGGGCATAGCTACGGGGGGGGGAAGGATTCTCAAGAGTATATTTATTCATCGAGGTGAAAAGTAAGAACTGAAGGCAAAAAAACGTTGCAGACGTATATCTTGCCAGCGTCGAGCAGGCTAGAGTGCGGTTTGACCAAGGTCGAGTTTGCATGATTTTTGCGAAGTATTCCGTATCACAAGGACGTTGATTATGAGACTCACCTATGATTTTTGGGACGTCTACTCAAGAGTAAAATCCTGCTTTAGTAAATAATCAAACGGGAATTCTACAATATTATGAGAAAAATATTGCGTGAGTAAATGTGAAGTTTGCACATCCGTACTTTGCTGGATCGAAACGCGAAGATTGTAAGATCTTCATTATTTCCAGATAGCAGCTGTACGTGAAGAAATATCTAGTTGGCACAATGGGGCGAGAAAGAAGCACGATAGAGATAATACAACGTTGACGGACTGGTGTATTAACAATACCGGCAAACTACTTCGGTTCACCCAACGTGATCAGCAATATACTCAGTATGATATAAAAAAATGCTTTTTTAAAATAAAAAACTAAATGAATGGCTAAAGCTAAACGATTGTCAAAGTCTCAAGGACCATGACTCGTGCTTACTGACTAATTGGACAAGCCCGTCCTAAAACAACACAACGCGCGGTTATTCATTCACTACTGACCAATGCGTTTCTTATCCATCGCTTCTAGCAGCACGCTATTCAAAGCCATTACTCTCAAAGTCAGCACTTGACTGATTGCAAACTGTCTTTGGTCAATCCACTCATCTGCCAGCACTCCAAGTTGTATACCAACGTTGTAATTAGAGCTTTTCAAGCTTGCTGAACTCGCCACCGCCAGGATTACGACGAGCAAGCTCAGCACGATCCGCCGCCTTAAAATCAAACGAACAATTGTGCTGGTCTTCAAAACGGTGACTATTGCAGAAAATATAACCACATCGACACTCAATAGCAGTCAATCCCAGTTTTTTCTTGCATTCCCAGCAGCGCTTCTTGTTTTTCTGCACAAGCTTTTCCGTCGACATCGCCTCAACTGTTTCTTCCTGAAGCCCAGCGTTATTATCAACGATGTCGGCAGACGCAGATGCAGCCGTTTCTACCACAGTCGCCACGTCTACTTTTGCCTCGGTAGCGCGTGGAGATGCCACCGCTGCTTGTCGATCCGACATGGTTTTTTTCCAACACACGCTGCACATACCTCCACTGCCTGGCGCACCAAAAAATCCACAGCCATTTAAACACAATTCAGCGCTCTCACGCTCTTGTTGCATTCTGTCTGATTGATAAAGTAACGAATAATGAAGCTGTCGTAATCGCCGAGTATCGTTTACTAGTACTAAAGCCAGAACTTCGACCTGTTATACTGTCTTCCGACTCGCTTCTTTTGTACCTAGAAAAACGATGAATGTTTCCAGTTTTTCTTCTTCGGCTCTCCCTCCCTCTCTCTCTCTCGCTCTTGCGACCTTTCCACGTTCATCTCCCAAAATTGAACAGCAACAAATTTGTATTTAACAGACCTAAACCACGTCAAGGGTTCAGTTTGTCTTAGTTATTCCTCGCGCTCTGAGATCATTTCATTTTAATTGGACAGAATGTCGTAGAACAAAACTTAACACGCGACATTTACTAATTGGTTAAATTTCAGTAGGCAACTCCATTGCACACAGTATTGTATTACAACAACTTTTTGTGTCGCAAAGTTGATACGGAGTGGCGATATCTGAAAAAAGCCGGTATAGAACCTGAATGACTGGACGTGTAACATTTGTAATAAATCCCACGTCTATTAAACGACTCCTCACCTTTACTGAGATCACTTGAGATTCAGATTTTCACAGCAATTTTAGCCCCAGGTCGACGCAAAGCATTGTAGGCTCTAAGTCGAAAGTTTGATCCAACCTACATGTTAGGATTCGCATCAACATTAGCATTAGCATTAGCATTAGTATGAATGAGCATGAGCATGATAATGGATATCCGTTAGCTGATTTCGTCTCATTATAATGTGAAGTTCTCATAACCCCTCGCTATTAATTGATAGTGTGGCAATTCTCATGCATTGCCTTCGTGACTAGGTGAGCCACAAAAGCTCATAGCTGCTAATCGAAAAATAAATGGAATTTACTATATGATATATATGATAGTTATCCCCTCCTGCGCAATTGCTATTTGAAAATCGTATAAAAGAGCGATAAATTCTGACAATTTCAGTAGGTTCATTGTTTTCACTGACCGAGGATGAGATAGTTGGAAAGTGTGGGCTAGACGATACAATATGACGAGGCCTACTTGATTTCGAAACACTGATGACAGCTCCTTGATATGCTGTGGCACTTCAAATTGACAATTAAGAAAGGAGAAGAAAAAAGAAAACATCACAAGTCAATATGCCTGCAAGCGTATGGAGACCTGAACTGAGTCTCAATACAGTTGGTCATCAGGAGTCGAGCCCCAAAAATTACATGCAAAACTATCGAAATACCTAGCATTTAACCCTAGACCTGATTATGTGAACATATTCGCAATCTTCAAAAAGAGTAATGTGAGCGCGTAGTATGTACCAGCAAAAAATATTAAAAGTTAATATTTTTTGCTGGTAATAAATAAAAAATATTAGAAGTTAATATATTTTGCTGGTACATACTACGCGCTCACATTACTCTTTTTGAGGTCTAATGAATTCTGCTTTCCTTCATATATAAATGACACCCATTTATATGCAAAAATCGAGGCAATTATTTACATTTATAGCACGACATGAAATTTCACGAGATTATACAATATAAGTTGATGCTTTTGAGAGCTTGTCCAGAAATTTCATCTGAAATATGTAAAGTAAGTCATGTCGAAGGCTGCTGGCTAAGTTACTTCAAAGTGACGGCATGTGGTCAGCGGGCTGATTCTCCGAAGAATTAAGGTCATTGGGAGTGTTCAGAGCCACACCATAAATGGAGTTACAAGAACGACATGCCCTAGTGAGCTTCTTAGAAACTAACATCGCACGGCCTTCACCAATCCAATCATACTATTATACAAAATTGTGTTGGGATACGACAGAAGATGCAGCCATCAAGGCTGAGAGGACAAGCCGCGATCGTGAATCAATTCTAACCATTTCAAAGGAGCCTGTCATTCTATGACCCCTGTGACAGCGTGGCTTATACTATAAACTCATAATCTAAAGATGTCAATGGGTATGAATGCGTAATAACGTTTGAACCTCGCCGGTTTTAAGCGACAGAGAAAATACTCCTGTTCGCGATAAGTAACTTATTGCAATATAGTATGCTCTTGTCAGATACAGACTGCACCTGTTTGGCATTAACCCGTCTTAGACCTATGCAAATCATGCGTCGTTGCGCACAGCGTTTGGTTCAATGTTTTTCTTCTCTTCTCTTCTTAAATATATTATTTCATTAACATTTAGATCAATATGGTGGTAGACGCGCGTCTGTGTCTCGACTATGAATCGTCTCATGTCACGATGGTGAGATGACGATACATACAGCGTACAGCTTGCGTGCAATGGAGTACAATACACTTTGCATAGATATAGCATCACGCCTTGCCATCTACGGTATTTCCGTGCTTATGATAATTATATCCTGGAAAGGTGAATTGATTAAATTTTTCAATTGATCATTATTGTATTTGGCACAATTGTACAGAAGTGCAATATTGCATAATTTCATATGCTCCCACGAAGTGGGATTGCTAGAAATAGCTCAGTGCATGTCCGTACATGCTTCACCACATTTACAACAATGGGTTGAAGGATCACTTGGTTCCTCGGACACCACCACGAATTGTTTACAGCTTAAATGGCACAGAGGACTCATGCGATTCTGCTCGCCGATAGTGTGTTGGATAGCCCTGTGACATAATCTGATCTCATAGCTTTCCACTCGAGTCACTCACCACAGTGACACGGATACATATGTCTCTCAAGGGCATCTGCAATACCCATCGATTAGGTCAATGGTACATCAAAATATCTTTCACCATACGGAGCGACAGTGGCTGATATCGGCCTATAGTAGATATGCACGGTTCGTGTAGCGAGGCTGCCGCAGCTCTTTCGCTTAGATAAAGCTTGATTAGGCGGTGACCTTCGTTCTATACTTAGAACCGATACGAGTGTAGCGGCCGCTTACTCCAAGAGTAGCTACAACCTTAACCCGAGGCTAATCAACTCTTCCGTTTGGAAACGAAAAAGGTATTTTTGTTTTATACGCGGCAAAGCCGCCTGTATCTAAATCTAAAGATTTTTCTTATATATATGGTTACAAGCACTGGCTGTTCCAGCCACGTGCAGACTTGTTGTTAAAAATACCCACACCATTGTGTGGTCACACGATATTGTGTGAAAACACCATTCCGTGACCACACAATCTTGTGTGAACCACACCCTTCATACCAGGGCACGTGAAATCCTGTTATACTCTCCTCCATCAAGATTGTGAACAACTACGGCTCACATATAACTGTCGCCTCGAGCGAGAGTCGCGTGTATAAGAAACCACCAAATCACTAGGACCTTCTTTCATATATCTACTCAATGAGCCCTGTGTCGTGGACACGAAAAAAAACAGCCTTGCTGGTTCCGAGAGCGCCCGCGCGCAGAGTATCAGTATAGACATCTATACCTCACTTATGCACCTTGCAGTCATTCCATGGCAGTAGTAACATCTGCGTAGTTACATAGGCAGTTCTTTCAGAGCACCTAGCCCTATGTACAACCCTAATCCTCAGCTCTGATTCCCTTCAACCCGAACCCCTCCTATGACCCTAAGTAATCACCCATCCGCCCCTAAGCCTACCCACAACCCCTATCCACGATTCACAAGA